GTCGTAATCAATGCTAAAAATAACAACCCCACATTCATAAGTTATTCACAGCATAACTTCTCTCAGTTATTCAAAGCAGTTAAAAACTAGAAATACATCTACCGCATTGAAAGGAAAGAAAACCAACTAACAAGTGTACATGATAAGCAAATAGTATAAAAATAACCTCAAAGATGAGATTGAGCAACAGGGCTCTTAGACAAATAACCCTGTCAGAAATTTATACTTCAAAGAAGGCTTGAAAACTACTCACAGGAGAACAATGCTGTCAGCATCTGACAACGAACTTCATATTTTAAACAGTTCTCCCTTCTGGCGTCAAATGAAATGCATAATTCATATTTAGCAAAGCTCTATTTCCTGAAAGGTGGGATTAAAGGCAAGAAGCACTTGGTCCGAGCTTTGTTGCTCTGGACCTGATACTGCCAAGACACTTGGAGATTCTCTGCCCTTCTCCGCTCCTCCCTGTCAAAGAGTAGGTGTTAATTCTCCAAGGATTAGATGACTATAAAAACAGCACTGGGCCATAAAGATAGCTCTTACACCTGGGCTTACTAGTTTTTACCTTGCTGTCTAGCTTAGACTGGGTAGTTGAGAAGTGTTGGGAGAAAAGTACTTCATCACTCCTACACACCAGGCCAAAGAATGGCAGAGAAGTGACACCTTTAGACAGAGCAGTCACATACTCCCACCACTTCTTTTAAGCAGGCAGAAGCCCACTCAGTACCTGCAGCCACCAGGTACTCATCCCATTTGAAAAGAGGGTGTAGGAGAGGCAAATTTTTATGATAACCTAAAGGCACCTCATTCCTTTCAAGATATTTTCCATTTGAATGTGGTTGAGGGCTCCACTCCTGGCACCTATCTCACATGCTTTTGCATAGACTGTGCACATACCATCAAAGGGAGGATTGAGGCCAAATACAGTAACAGAATAAGTCTCTCATACTGCCTTAAAAACAGGTAATTGATCATCTGCTGTGTGTGTACAATAAGACTATTTAGTGTTCTTTTCTATCAAAATTTTAGCAGACTGCTTTCCTACATTACAGGCATCACATAAGCTGTATTCCCTCAATGCCAGTGCTTGCCTTCCATAGTCTCTGATGGAGTGCTTTACTTTGGGGGGGGGGGGAACTTTTTTTTTTTTAATTTTTTTTTTTTTTTTTTTTACACAGTGTTCTGTTAAGACGTGGTGCTTTTTACTTCAGGTGTGTTCTACTCCAAATATGGGCCCATAAAAAAATGCAGCAAAAAAGTTACACTTCCCCCCCCCAAAATCAGCTAGGACAAACAAGACCTCAAAATTTACTATTTTAGGAATTTGATTGATAACCAAAAATCAACACAGCAAACAATTATTGAGGCAAAAATCCAAAGAAACAGATTTGAACAATCATCCTATTCCCTTGCATTTCTAGCACGGTCTCAAAAAGAAACTTGCAGTTTTCTACATTTGAACATACACAGACTTGTTATTATAACCATGCTCTTGGATTTCTGACCATGACAAACTGGCTTATGTCAAAATACTTTCTAAAGTAGGCAGAAGCAGAAGGAAATCTCTTACTAGACTTTAAACTCCCTTCCAACGACTCAAAATCAACTTTAGTAGAAATAGCCAACAGTAGAATTCAGGTGTGCATTAAATACTAAATAATGCTCTTTAATAGTTAAATAGTGTGGAAGGAAAATGAAAAAAATTATCTAGGAAAGCTAATGTAGAGTTTTATGATGAGGCTATTTCCAGCAGTGCTTGGTTAAGCTTTTTCTTACAGCAGAGTCAGACTAATACAAAACTCAGCTGCAGTAAATCCTCAGGTAACTGTACATCTCCATAATTACAGTACAGTAAAGCTACTGGAATTGGAGGCTCTGCTTGGTGTCTTTTCACTTGGCTCATAAAACCACAGCTTTATACCTTAATGGGCAGATGCCACCCACACTGCATTATATATGCCATTTCAACGTGCAAGTGAGGAAACAGAAATGGAGAAGAGATGGGCTGGACACCTTCAGAACTGAGCCTTTCACACCACAGACCAACCTGCCACCTTCAAGTGATCAGTTCTTACAGTTCTTACAAATACAGTTCTTACAAATGCAAACTGGTAGTAATACTGATTTTATTGCCCAACTTTCAATTACTCTAATTTCTAGTCGATAAGGAGTTTGTTACTGCAGAACCACTACAAAGCTAACAGAGCCCTTTGTAAAGAAGAAGAAAGAGGAAGAAAGAGGCAGATTCTTGGAACCTGGAGAATTTCCTCCTCAGGTAGCTGCAGGGACAAAATCCCACAGAATTTATTTCACACATCCATCCCACTGTCATCAATGCCAGAGGAAAACTGAAACCTCACCAACTAAACACCATGAACCATACAGACAAAAAAAACATTCAGCCTTTGGTCACTGCAGTCTTACATATCTGTGTATTACAAAATGTTATTCATGGTTAAAAGCATTAACAAAATACTTCATGATTAGTTTCTTGGTTCACTGGTTCCTTTAGCTGTATTTACAGCATTTTAACCAGCTGACATCTAACACTCAGTTAGAAAGTATGACTGACCTTGTATTAACTTTCCTGTATTGATTTTTAAAAGCCCTACATTTCACACATGGGCATCTAAAATTTCCTGTATCAACTTAAAAGGGATGCTCTGATCCCCTCTGTTTATGAATTCAGCTGGCAAATGTAATTGTTATCTCCCCAACAATCCTTTAAGAAATTGTCCCAATGGGGACAACACATGACTTCATATGAAATGTGATCTTGGTAACTACAAAAAAAAGCCCTAATCCCAAAAAATACCAAACTGCAAAAAACAGGTCTCTGCCCAAGCTAATTAGACCTCCTGGAAAAAAAAACAACAAACTTTGTTTTTGTTGTACAATTATTCCTGCTAACTTCCTTCAGATAGGTGTAAAACATTTGCGGGAAATCAGCTGGGCCAGAGCAAGTCTTTTATGTAACTGCTTAAGGCTGCAAAATTTCACACACCAACCATTCAGTTCTTGGAGACTTCCAGTGGGAGACTCTTGGCAGAGTCACTGTTACTAAAACCAAATTACCTTCCTTGAACATCATTTAAATGCACGGTGTGGGCAAGAAAAATGAGGCATTAAAAGAACAATGAGAAAACTTACTAAAAATGCATCCTCTTACTCCTTAAATTAGCTCCTGTAAATGCTGAGTCATTTCTGCCTTATTTTACTAGCAAAACTAAAAAGTTTTTGTGGCTGTTCTTTATCCACTTAGCAAGGCAACCATCCACTGCTGGAAGTGACTATTTTCCTTTCTCAAGAGTATCATCCACACGATGTGTTCCAGCTTCAGAGCCTTGACACTGAACAGTGATGACTTGCAAACACCAGAGCCAGCCCACCATGAATTTCAGATCTTGGTGTGAGTCGCAGGGCAGAGGCATTAAACAGTGCTTTACTCATGATCTGAGACAAACTACTTTGCAAATCAGCATGTAGGAAAGACAGAAGGCAACAATGCTTTTGTGCTACATGGCTTTTCTAAAATGGGGAGCACACTAAAAAAGAGAGGCGAGAAGGGAGGAAATCACCCCAAAGTCATCCCACCAAAACCCTTACTGGAGATCCAGGAATACCAGCAGGCACCTCTAACAAAGATTATCACTGAATTATGTTTAATTGTCAGCCAAGAGGTGTAACTGGGCAGATGCTCCCATCTGACATGAGCTGCTCCTCCACAAAGAGGCTCTGCCTACAGGGCTGCGCCTGATGGCTATGGGAACAGCATCCTGCAGTGCAGGGATGCCCACAGCACAAGCCCAGGGTGTGCACTGTGGGCACTGGCTCTGGAAAACACACCACAAGATTTGTTTTCAGAAACTAGCTGGAAGTTTGATGTGAAGCTGATAGAACCTCATTTTTCAGAATGTTTTCTTTATGGAAAATTGTTTTACCAAAGCTCAACTCTGGAAGTAAGTATATACCTGTCAAATAAATGTTGTTATTACTTTCTCTCCCTGCAAGCAAAAACCTGAATGAGTTTAACCCCCGGCCTTGGTGCTATTTACCGGCACACTATGCTCCTTGTTCCTTGGGAAGAGCTGCAACTGAGGCTCAGAACACTCATTAAAAATACCTCAGATTGAATTTCATAGCCCACAACTTTTGAAAAGGAATATAATGGCACCATTCAGTACCTTCAGCGTAATTCAGTGGCGTAGCAGCCAGCGTGTAATTGGGGATGGAAACCCCAATCTCTGTGACACCCCCCACCCCTTGCCTCCCACTTTACCACTCCTCTCTCTGTTTCAAGGCAAAAATCATTTAACCACCTTCTCAGGTTTTCTTTTTTTAACATTAAGTAGTGCTTGAGAAGAAAATAAAATCATTCTCTTATTCAGACCACTTTTTTCTTTGTTTTCTTTGCCTGCTCATTTTTCCTCATTTTCTTTACCCATAAGCAAACACTTTACGAGAATGAAGGAGTAGGCAATTCTTAAGTCATCAAATGTGAAAACAGGACCCTTATATACAGACTGGAAACATGAGAATATGGAGTGTTATGAGTATATGGGAGTTATTAACTATAAAACCAGATTGAGATGCACAGTGGGTATTTACTATTTTTATCTGCATACATTTTAGTTCAGCCACGATTCTACTAAAATCCTTTGAAGACATTAATTCACTTCAGTGTAAAAAGTCCAAGACCTGGGAAAATATACCCACAACAAACCACAACAAAAATGAGAGATGTTCAGGCAAAATATTAAATTCTAACTCTAAAGCAAAACCAAGTGTAAAAGGAAAAAGCTTCTGCTTCAGTCTTCACATTAGTATTAATCTAAACAAGAGCTCACACCATCCAGGATAGTACATATTTTACTTTCTACTTTACCAAAGGAAGGAAAGCACATTTTAGCAACAAGATACAGAACTTCTCAGAAAGGAAACTCCTCGATGAAGCCTTCAGGCTGTGGCTGCTGCTAATCTATAACATACTCATGTCACACCTGAACTCTTGTCTTCAGTCAGGCCACTGCTCCAAATGGACCTAATGCTCTGACAGTCACAATGCAACGCAGGGTAAGGAAGACAACCCTGCATACAATTTAAAGTAAGAGTTTCTGTTGAAGTTGCTTGGTATCAGCCTGTCTTGCAAAACTGACATGGACTGGCTAAAGAAAAGCTTGGCTGCAGCACTCAGATTACTCCCAACTGGATGTGAAGTAATCCTGTATTTAAGTGTGAAACTGAAACAGAGATGGGGCTAAGTCCATTCCCAATGAGAAAAATTCATACCCACAAAATGTTTTCACGGAAGCAAAACTTCCAAGTGCAAAACCTAAGTCTCAAAAGTGATCTCTTCTTCAAGTATCTGAAAGGCATAACTTTTGAGTAGTTTTTGCCAGTCAAGTTCCCAATACACAAGAGTTTCTTGTCTGGTCATGCAAGATCTGTCACCAACCTGACAGATGGATGTATAGGAAATGCATTCAACATTTCTCTAAGCAGCCTCAAAAAACCTTAAAACTGAATATACTGGGAGCCTGATCTTTTAAACACGCAAAGAACGACACAGGAAAAACACTGAGAACTGTCTATACTCTCAGAGGATTTGCAAGGGAAGGTACAAGCTCTGTGCTTTGCACATCACTGAAAAGCACTACCTTTGGTGGAACGTGAACTAGACTGGAAAGAAGAGCTAGTGTTACAGTAATGTCTGCTTCTACCAACAGATTCCAGACGCACCTCATAATGATGCAGTCAAGTCACATCTTCAAGGAAAGATAAAAAATAACTACCTCCCTTTTTAACACAACTACACAGTTTGCAGGAAAATCCTCAGGAGCTTTTTCTGCTCATTCTCTGCAGCCTACCTGCAACTTCCAGTGTCTCCGAACACAGCAGACGCTTTAAAAAAATCCATCCATGAGTCATCTCAGGTCCCTGAAAGATGAAACTGCCTCCGGATTGTAGCAGTCTGATGAATGGTTATGTTAGCAAACAACACATAAGAGTAGCCACCATTGGGGAGCACAAATGGAGTGGTGCCTGTGTGCACTGCAGAAACACTGACTTTGCCCCCAGCCACTTCAAAATCCAAAGCTGCTGGGACTGACCTGCATGTTAAACCTAGCATTAAACACAAAGCAGCACAGAGCAGAGATCTGCTTATACATTTGGGGCAAACCAGGGAAAGAAGGGATTTGTACTTGTATCTTTGTGGCAGAAAGAGGTGAAGAGGGAAGAGAGGCCAGGAGGATGTCTAAGCTGCACATGATGTTGTCTGGTAACAGCATGTGGTCTGAGCTGGGCAAAAAGCCTCTCATTTATCTCCAGAGTGCTTCATCCTGACCGTGAGCAAGGTTTCACTCTTACCTATGTTGAATGTGGGACATTCAACTTCCACCTGATTTCCCAGTGCTTCTTCTCCATGTGTGTGTGTGTGTATCTTACAGAACTGCCTGTGCCTGTAGTTAATGTGAAATACTTCAGAGACAATAACTTACACCCTTCTGCTTCATTGCTCATTTAACCATACTAAACGTTCAAGCTAAGGAGATTCCTAAGAGATCTGCTTTCTGTCACTCAGAGAGAGGCCTCAAATATCAAAGGAAAGCATCACCATGTTACTATCACAAGTACATTAACAGCCTCTGAAACACAACTTTTATGGCTTCTATTTTGTTTTAACGTGCAATAAGGTTTTCTTTTATGTTCTGTTTAAAAACATGTGTTGTACAGACTCAGTTATTGTGATTTGGGTTTTGGACAGAATTGCTAAAATGCATCTTTAGGCACAGCAGGTTTACAAAGGCAAATGAGCCACTCAACTGTTTTTCTCTTAAGGCCAGAATACAGCAGTGCCGTATTAGATACCACTTTGATATAAATGAGCTTTATCAGCAACAACAGGCTGCGTGGGAAACAAGCATTTTCTGTTCAGGGAATGCCAAAAAGAAGTCTTTGGGGATGTACTATCAGAAGTCAAACATCAGGCTGACACAATGTGACTTTTCTGACCACATTTTCAGTCTTAGGTTGAATTCCTGCAGAAAGAAAGTTTTAATCCATTTAACTTTGAGGATAATGTGTGTAACTGGAAAAGGATTTGATTTTATCTAATTTCTGGGGTTTTTTCTTAATGCTGAAAACCCAAGTCTTTATGTAGTTACAGAGAGCATGCATCTCATTTTAAATTTACATTTGTAAATATGCTTTGTTTAGCATTAGTACTTAGGTAATTTACAGATTCCTGGGCTATGTGAGAGCAATACATTTTATTCACAACATAACATTAAAATTGGATCACAGAATCATAGAATATCCTGAATTGGAAGGGACCCACAGGATCACTGAAGTCCATCTCCTGGTCCCAAGAATCACACCATGTGCCCCAGAGTGTTGTCCAAGTGCTCCTTGAACTCTGTCAGACTTGGGGCTGTGACCACTGCCCTGGGGAGCTGTTCCAGTGCCCAACCACCTTCTGGGGGAAAAAACATTTCCTGATATCCAACCTAAACCTTCACTGACAGAGCTTCATACCATTCCCTCGGGTCCTGTCACTGGTCACTAGAGGGAAGAGATCAGTGCCTGCTCCTCTGCTTCCCCCTGTGAGGAAGTTGTAGACAGCGATGAGGTCTCCCCTCAGTCTCCTCCAGGCTGAACAAGCCAAATGACCACAGCTGTTCCTTCTATGGCTTCCCCACTAGACCTTTCACCATCTTTGTTGCCCTCCTTAGGATGTTCTCCAATAGCATTACACCTTTCTTATATTGTGGTGCCCAAAAGTGCACACAGGACTTGAGGTGAGGCCACACCAGCGCAGAGTGGAATGGGACAACCTCCTCCCTCAACTGTGCTACAAGTGATGATTACCAAGATGTCATTTGAGTATATCAATAAAGATTGCCATGGAATTATTTTCTGTCAGAGTTTGAGCAACTTGTCAGAAACAAACTCCATCTTCTGCTTTCTATTTTAAGAGTAAATCTAAATTAGTTACATCTAAACCTAAGCACTTTACTGAGATGCCTAAGGCAGAAGAGTAATTTTCCCAGATTCTTGTCTAATCAAGAGTGGAAATAAGACCTTCAGACTATGTGTCAGTCAACCTAAAATCTGAATCATCTAAGAGGTGGCCCCTCTTCCTCCAATTTGTTATAAATTAGAGTAACTACACCTGGCACAAATGTCATATTGAAAGACAGTTTTACATGGATATACATGCTTTACAATATTTAAGTTTAAAAAGAAAAAAAATTAAATAACTAAGGAACCCTTACAAAAGGAAGAGCTCCATGCTTATTTAAAACAGAATTTTGACTCCTACAAGACGACATTTCAGAAAATGATCAAAATAAAAGCTGAGTGTTCTCACTCTTTTAACAGATGCAGTTTTCAAAACTCCCCAACAAAAAGCAGTGAGACAAAGCTAAGCAAATCCACATGCAAATAGAGTGCACCACTTGCTGAAAGTGCCTCCAGATGGAGACTGAGCCAGTGGAAGGATCACTGCACCTGTAACAGCCAGAATTCAACACCGCCAGCTATTGCTTACTTGAGAGCAACTACCTTTTGCTGGCCAGGCACTGAAGCAGAAAAGGCAATGGCCTCTACAAAGCAGCAAGGGCTACCTGCCCAGAACTGCACTGATGGGATGAGAGTTGCCAAAGCACTGAAAAGGATGACATAAATTTTTCTAGGTATAGTTTCAACAAAATATAGAAACTGACACGTAGTCTGAAGGTCTTATTTCCACTCTTGATTAGACAAGAATCTGGGAAACCGCAGCGATTAACAGCCACTCCTGTTAGATGCTAATTATTTAAAAGACCATGAATATTTGGAGACAAAAGCTAGCAGAACTATGCTTAAAATTTACTACCAACCATCTGTTATATTAATAGCCTCATCAGAATGTTGCTTCAGATTTGGTTTTGTCCACATTGAAAAATACTTTTGTCCCTATTATGAAACTTACTAAATAGACTTCATCTTTGCCTATTTATAAAATGTTTAGGTTATCCATGTTCTCACCAGCCTTCCAGTGAACTACTGGGCCAACATACTTCAGTCATCTCCACCAAAACACTGTCTTGCTACCAGCAAAAACTGTGTTTCTTCATCATAATTTACTTAGAGAAGTCAGACTACCCTG